TGCGGACGCCGTGCAGACATCCAGCGGATTACCGGCAGCATCAGCAGCCCCCGGTCGTCTTCAAAGCCTCTGGAGGGCCCCAGCCGCGACCAGGGTTGACAGGGTAGCCCCGCCAGAAAAAGATCCACGTGCGGAGCCTGCAGGAAGTCTTCTTCCATGCAATCCCAGAACCAAAACTCGTGATCGAACAAGGCTTCGGAGACTGCCTGCGCCGATGGCAGGAGGTCACATCCGAAGACCGGCAGAAAGTCCAGTGACAGCATCTCGCATGCGAAAAGCTCCGCGCACCACCCGCTGCAGCAGCTGCCTACTGTGAGTTTCCTTGCCGGATTGGGGACACGCAGAGGTTCAGGCATCCTTGGGACAAGCTCCTGCTGCAGGTGCTCGTAGAATGTCCTCACATTCCATCCATAGGTCTCCCAGCGCCTAACCAGGCGGCGGGCCCGGGTCCTGATACTATCTCCCATGCTTCGACTCAACCAGCAGCACCGGACAAGGCATTGCATGCACGCCGACTCAGACCTCACCTAGAGTGCCCTAGAGCATGTGCATGAAACTGATGAATCAGGCGAAACTGCAGGAACATGTGCTCTCGGAGGCCTGCCAGCAGCAGGAGCCTGCGGTTGTCAGAGTTGGAATTCCTAGTCGACGCGCAGCTATTGCACAAAACTGGCTGCACTCAGACTCAGACTCAGGAACTGAGAGTCTTCTTTTCCAGTGCGTATCGAACACAAGGTTAGTCGGCGCCGACACTGGTGACAAGCCTGGCCTCCGAACGGCGACCCACAGGTCCATTGACAGATTTCGTCTTTCTAGTAGGACAGCAGAACTCCTATGTTAACATGCAATGCTGAGCCGGTGCCTGCTGACCTGAGAGCCCCCCAAGGCCTCGTTGCGTCTCCAGTAAAAACGCAAAATCGTTTCTCCCTATCCCGATGCAACCGCTCTCGCAGCTGTGCGCGTGAACTGAACTCTAATGCTTGCAGCACCCCGCAGCTCGTCTAGTTCCTGAAGGATTCTGTGAGGCTCAAGACTGCGAGAGACATATGCGTCAGAATTCAAAAGTCCGCTGCACTCGCTAGTCGTCCTGCGAGTCGATACTCTCAGCATCCACCTGCCCATCCACGTTGCCAGTCTCCTCCTGGCCCTTGCCCTTGCCCTTGCGACCCTGGAGAAGCTTGATCTTCTTCAGAATGTCCAGGTTCTGAGCTCCCCGAAGACGCTTTCTGCTCCCCTTCTCCTCGCTCCCCGTAGCTCCATCCACTGGCTCAGCCTCGGAACCTTTTCCGCGGCCACCGCGGCGGCCTCCCTTGCCACCACGGCCTTCCTTGCCACCACGTCCCTTACGACCTCCCTTGCCACGACGCGAGCC